CCACCCCCCCCGCCGCCGCCGCCGCCACCACCACCACCACCACCACCACTAATAACACAATTCTCAGTCTTGCTGTTACCCAACCCTGAACATATAACAGTGTGGCCTGTTGGAAGCTGCTAGCAAGTTTTATGCCTATAAGGATGCACATCCGAACTACTGGGGGGGGAGGGTGGTCGATCGAGTCTATAATCGTACCTAATTACCTTGGGCCCCGAATAAATTCAATAAATCGTACCTACAGTTATCTTGATCCCTAGAGCTAGTCTGTTGATTGCGCTTGAAACTCCCAAAGTTAAAATTTCGCGGGCGCGATGAAGCCCAAAAGCTTTGATCGCTTGTTTTGTGGCCCATGAAATACCGTATAGAGACTCTAGACCGTGAAGCTTCGCTCCTTGTTTCGCATCCAGCATAGGCCCTGTGCTGACAGGAGTGAATCTCGATGATCATGTCCCGCAATGCTCAGCACCTTCCGACCGTTGGCCCTTAGCTTGTTCCCCATCAAAATTTTGGGCTGTCCCACTTAAGTAGATAGAATATGGCTTTGGGTATGTTATAATAAGATCCGCATCTACCCCATATTTCGTATCTACTTAAGGGGGACTATACGCTGAATTTGATGTTAGGGGCATTTCAAAAAAGTCTCAGGTGTGAAGCGACGCATAGCAGCCCGACAGCTTATGTGAAACATCGTCAGCGCAAAAAAACGTGCTGCTCCATGCTACCTCAAATATATGAGCCATAGTCTGAGCCTAAACTCTTAAAGGGGATAATATCGGGTACTATTACAGGGCTTTTAAGGGGGATACTAGGAGTTTAGACTATAGCTCATATCGCGATTAGGTTTCTAGCCCAGGTAAAGAAAAGATTGAGCAAATGATGGGCTTACTGCTACCTTTTCGCTGGCTTACAGGCTTGTACAGGATGCCTTAACGTCTACCAGAACATTTCTCAGGATTCGATGAAATCTTTTTGGAACGCCTACGTCGAGGGTACTGTTGGGAGGTTCGCAAACGTAGCAGACATCTCTCAGACATCTGATCCACAGCCTTTTCCCCGAAGCCCTAAACCCTGAGCCTTAAACCTCAAACCCTGAACCCACCCAACCTGAGATATCTATGATATTGCGGCCAGTCTCAGTAGTTCACGTGTTTCTGAATACTGGCAGAGACACGGACACAATGATCATCCAACCAGGTAAGACGCCACTCCCCCTAGCATCCAAAGAAGGAAACCCATCGAAAGTTTCCAGAACCAAGTTTTTTCTGGCACCTCTAATATATCAAGGATTATATGAGTAGTATTCCATTTGGGGATACTATGGTACCCATTATAGAGTAAGATTATATCCTCCTTTTGGGGTATAGTATTTTATATAAGGAATATCATCTTACTGTGTTTAACCACCAAAAAACACGCTACTCATATTGTTCCGGAGGGTTCTGGGTGACACCCCTACTCTTATAAGGGCCAACCAATTCCAAAACATCTCTCAGATTCCATATGAGCAGGTGCATGTATTTGCACGGAAGACGACAGAAGACTCGTCGGTATTCTTCCAACGCCGGAACTCACTGGGGAGCTAGATGGGGGCCACGCATGGAGCAAAGTATGTCGAGTGTTTATCTAAGTGAGGGCCATTCTCATGTTCCAACATGTGCAAATGAGACCATAACAGGTTTAGCCCGTAAGAAAATCAGGTCCGTTCTCAGCGGAACGGGATGGCGGACGAGGAATTTGAGATAAAGTCGTTCTGCCAGACAAAAACTAAAAGTGATTGCTCACATGCTCGGGTGCAGAAGCTTCAAGGGCACGGGAACTTCTGAACGTTGTATACACGAAGGAGACTTCGCTGAGTTATTGTGCATGGAGGAAATGTTGCACAACCCTTCACAGCCCCTAGAATGGCGATTGCAGTTCTTTGGGGTTACTAAGTGGTGCAAGCTTTTTTCCATCCTCTGTAGGGAGTCATTTGGGACGTGTGGCCCCGAAAATACCCAAGCCTTATCAAACCTATATCACTGAAACAAGAAATCTGTGGGGCGACTGCGCGTGTACCTCGGTTACTGGTTTCCTTTTAATGGCAGCTTAGTTTAAGTTCCTTACGAGCACCCCAAACCTTCAATCATGCACGACCCTGCCGCCATGTTCGAGGTGCATGCCTGTCATGGATGCAGGGGGCTGGCTTCCGCCATGTTTACTTTCTTCAGCAAGATACGAAGCAAACGGTGTTGAACCATTGAATCCACTTATGATGATGGTTGCCAGCTGACAACTATGATCTTATAGATCGCTGGGACTTGCGTTGACAATCAATCTCACAGACTAACTCCACCCCCAAGTCACGAAGCAACGCTAGATGACACTGATATAGTGTTTTTTTTCGGTGCCCTGAGCAGCAACAATCAGTAACCCTGAACCCTCAGAAAACAGCAGGAACCAGCATTGAACATGATGATGGACCAGCCGACGTATGCCTGGCAAACCCCAACCACACTCCGATAATGTCCTTCCTTTTTAGATTGTGGCATATGATGGTAGTTTCCTTAAAGAAGGGGGGGACGCCAACATAGACCCCAACATGCTATAGCCCTTAATATTCGGACTCCCAGAAAGGCACCACTGATTTTGGGAAACCCCCATATGTGCTATGTAGCCTGGGAGCACCGGCCATGGCTTCAGCAATTGTCAAGACTGGAGATAGCCCTGGCTCTTTCTACGTTCTTGACCGACTCCTTTGGGTTGCTAAGAGCTCTTCAACATATGGGGGTTTCCTAAAATTAAGGGTACCCTTTTTGGGGGTCCCTATAATAAGGACTATAGTATTTTGGGGTCTAT